TATATATATATATATATATATATATATATATATATATATATATATATATATACACAGTACATATATATGTATAAATTGCTCTTTTTAACTTCTGCATTCTAGCATTTTGCACAGAACACCACTTTTAACAACATTGTGACTTAGAGTTACAAGCTGCGTGCCACTTCTCCTGCAGAGCTGAGAGCAGAACACATGCTTTGTACCTTAGGGCCCGTATTGTGGTGAGTCCCTCTACTGTCTCAGAGAAGTGGGAGAGTAAAGGCAATTGGGTTGCATCTTCCAGCTGCTGCAGGTCCCTGACCATCAGAGAAAAAAAAGGGAAAATATTGAATTTAAAATTAAATCATTAATAGACCTGACGGGAACTGCAGCTTTACAATTGATGAATGATACGATAGATACGAAAACAGATTTTAATATCCTTTGACAGTCTCCTCCTGACTCACCTGGAAGCAACTCTGAAGTATTTCTGAATGAAATAGCAGGTGATTGCAAGCGGCAGAAGGGCAATGAGGAAAACGGGCGTCACATAAGAGATGACCCCCAGGGCGGACAGACACAGCAGGGTGGAGCGGGACAGACACTCCAGGGTGGTAGGGATGTGCTGGTCGATTGTGTTGGTGTCCGTGGAAAACCTGTTGAGAATGCTGCCGAGCGGAGTGGTCTCAAACAGCCTTAGCAGGACATAGGGGGAAAAAAAGATGCAGTTAGGATAAATGCTGTAGATGATTATGAAAAACGTCAGAGACTGTTGCAAAATTTTATCAGTTCTGAGTTTTAATATAGACGATTTAATGTGTTATAAGATTTGTTTAACTTTTTTTCCCATGGAATGGTAACTGTGTTATTTTAACTTAACTGCATTCAATTTAATTAGCTATAGCAGACTAGAATAAAGAGAATTATCTGTTACTTTGAATTATCTAATTACTAAAAGGTGTATATTTATTTTAAACCCCTGACACCCATTTTTGTAAATATGAAGCAAACCCTTTGTATTATGTACACAGGTGAGATAGCATGTACATTCCCCCATTGCCACTGTGTAGCCTCCTTGGGCAGTGTGTAACTAGGAACCTTTGGTAAGCTTTTATTTCCATTAAATCTGGTCCCAAATGATGTATTATCATTGATCGTTATTAATGTCATACATTTGTAATATACATTTCAGGCATCAAGGGGTTAATACACTTCTTTCAACATCTATTCATTTCTACTCACTTCCTCTTAAGACATAAAACTCTTAGTACGGTAAATACAGTTGCCTGTTATTGTTAAAGCTTCCAATAATAACTAAAATGCTGTAAAATATGTAATACATATTTCAGCGTTTTCTGATTATACCTGATTTTATGATTATAACCAATGAATTAGGAGTTACCATTTTCCTTATCAGACATATTTTTTCTATTTTTTTTTATCTAGCTTGCCGTTTATCCATCATTAATAAGTGTTACTACTGGTGGCCATATTTCCTCGCCTTCGCAGTCCTTCCTTATCACATTATTTATATTATGACTTTTGTATTACTGATTTCTTAATAATTTGATATTCCTCTCCCATAGAAAGTTTTTAATTATGTATTTTGTATCATCTGTGTTATAGATTCTTTACGTTATTTATTATTTATTTTTACTTCGTATTAAATCCTTATTCATCATACGTTACTAAATTCCTGTTTTCAGATTTCTGACGTTTTCATTACTAAGTTGTTGCTACTACCTGATTTACCTATTTAACCAATACTAACACTCCTGCTGAAATTATTTTTACTGCCTTATCTATAGCCAATTTAAACCCTTACTTACCTATTATAGATAATTCCTTACATATGAATTCTTATTTCATTTCTATTTAAAAACATAATTTTCTCACCTTATATGTTGTGTTTGTTTTTAAGTTTTCACCTATTTGTTACACAATATATCTATCATTGCATGTTTGTGTTTTACTCATTGCTCAGTAATTCTCTTTTTTGTTTGGAGGATTCAACACAAAGTAAATGCATTTTTTTTCCCAAAAAGGACTTCCATTATCTTGTACCTACAATAAACGTTTTATATATACATATAACTTATTTATTTTTGAACTCTTTTCACTCAGTTGTTTCTCTTTGTGCCAACTAAAGCTTTTTTATTTACATTTTTTGCATGAGTGAGAGTCTATGAAGGACATGCGAGTGTTCCTCTGTGTTCAGGGAAGAGCTGAAAGCTTGGCTTCAGTCGGGGGAAACAGATTGTGCTCGGAGTAATGAGGCTAAATTAAGGTGCTTTTAACTGCGTCTCTTTATATAAATTATCTGTTCGGCACACGGACACAGAGAGACCCAGTCCACTGTTACCTAACATCCTGTTTTCGCCTGATATGAGCCAGACCTGCGCTCATGCTCACACTGTGGGTGTTGTACCTCATGGGGGCCAGTATGATCTTGTTAAGGAGGTTGTGGTGCAGCCCCTTGGCCACTTTCAGGCCCGTCCACTCCACAGTCACAGAGGTGGCCAGACAGAGGATGATGCCAAGGCAACAGAGCACGCTGAACACGGACAGATACCACGAGTGGCTGAAGCCACAGTCCTGCAGCAGAGAGACACATCCATCAACTCGATGGCGGTGACGCTTTGAGTGTCCAATCAGGGCTCACTTAGTGTGCTTTTACTATAATTACCAACACAATTAAACTGTGAGGCTGGTTAAATATTAGCCATCTAATGCAGCGTAAACCAGTGGAGCTAAAAGCTGAGCTGGCAACCTTTGAACAAACACTAAAAGAAAAGTGCTGATAATGCTCTGTTGTTGCCCGCTTTCTTCTTAATTCATCAGCTTCAACCTTCACTTCAAATGCTTCTGCTGTTTTTTGTCTTTTTATGAGTAATGCTGTGTTTTTTCAATGATCTAATTAAGCCATGTAGCATAAAATAGAAAAATACAGGGATTCCAAATATAATTAAATTCTGAGTTGCTTCTGGCTGAGAACATCAAACCAAAATCCACAGTTAATTAAATTAAATTAATTGTTTCATTAATGGTTGAAGCTTCTGTGGTAAGATGATGAGTTCATATGGAACAGCAGTGCAGTTATGAACATTAAAGCATCCCATATTAAGTGTGTTTAGATCTTTCATTTCATGCCATCTAAAACAAAAAAATGGTTCAGTTTTTTAACATAAGATCAGTGAATACAGGAAAAATGAAACAGACGCCCTAACAAATATTATCATCAAAATTACCTTTCCAATTGTTACAATCACAGATATCAGTTGGGATTTTTTTATGTAATAGGATGGCACCAAATAAAGTGCATGATTTCAAAGTAAAAGAAAAGTTATTTTACCTAATTTTTATTTTTTTTATGAACAACATATTTGGCCTATTTAGTCTGATAGCCAACATAAAGCCATCGATTCGGTTTACACTGCAGTAAGACGAGCCAAAAAAAATCACACAGAGCTGATAAAGGCAAGTCCTGAAAAGATTTTAGCTTTAATCATTGAAAGTTGTTTTTAAAAACTTTTGAATCGGTTAAATACAAATGCAAGCAACTATTTACTTTCAATTTTATTAATGATAAAACATGAAACCCAAGTTTCTTCCCATCCCACTATAATGGTATGTTGACTTGTTTTGTCACGTATCATAAAATCCCAATAAATATGACTATATTTCTGAATTTTATGTGATAAAATGGGAGAAGGTTCAACAGCTGTCAATACATTCACAATCCACATTAAATCCATGTTGTTCTGAAAATATTAAACAGGACCAAAAACATTTTATTATTTTCCAAATTCAAGAAATTATCCCTGTCCTATCCTGCTACAGTTTAAGAAGTATGAATTCAGTATATTATCTGTTTAGTCAATGAAAAGCCATGTTGAATTTTTCTCTCCCTGTTGGTTTAAGCTTGACTTTCAAACAGGACTTGTCTCCACGTGGATTAATCCAAAGCACAGATTAGATAAACCTGACAAAGAATGTCTCCAGCTCAGCCATGCAAGATGCACTTGGTGACGATTTAAATGCACTTAGTGGCATTAATAGCCTATTTGTGTTTGTGTTCCACAGAACCCTTCAGGCCACCAGACTCTTCAGCCTTTAAATGACTGTGTGAAATATGACCCTACATTTCATGTGACTGGACAAACACACACAGATATGTTTTAAACACTCCATACATTTTCAATCCATCCCATGGCCTAACCTTGACCCTAATATAAACCGTCCTAACATCCAGTAGTAAACCCCAAGAAAATGCCCTCAGTTTATAACTAAAATACAGAGTCCCCCCTCCATAAAACTATTATTAAAGTTGTTGCTACACTTGTCCTGGATACAGCAACCAGACAACAGCTGGTGTGAAACTCTGAGTGTCAATGACGCAGTGCAACCCTCCTCACTGTATTTATACTGAATGCCATGTGTTTCATGTGCCATTAGAGTCTAAAGAAGAGAAACTGGATTTAAACAGCGAACAACAAAGTTGATAAATCTCATATGCAAACTGTATTTTCAATGGTGGCGAATATTAACCTTTTGCAATCTCTTGGATTTTCCATTAATGCGTGACTCCAGCTCTGATATGCAAGATGACTGAGCTGCTGCTGCTGCTGCTGCTTCAGGGTGGTTTAGTGAATGCTCCATCTGGAGCTGCCAAAGCGTGTGTTTGGGTTTTAGGTCAGCTCTGTTCAACTGAGATTCAGTAGAGAATTAGTGAGGAGAGCGGGAAGAAAATAAAAAAAAAGCTGTGATGATTTCCCTGAAGGGGAATTCTGCAGTTATTATACCCACTTGATAACTATAAGGAATAGAAATCGCTTTATTGCACTGGGTGTTTAAATATTGCAATGGGATCCAAATGTAAAAGTGTTTTTACAGCATTTGGGGTCGTATTGTTAATTCTGACAACATTGTGTGTAGGAATTTGTGCATAGGGATTTCTTATAAGAAAGATGTCTGTCTGGAGTGCACAAATCTACCAATCCCATTGGAGTTGAGATGATGCATGAAGATGGTGAACATGAAAGCTTTAGCTGAACCCGTAAACACTAACCAAGCTGCACGCTTTTAAGACTTCTCTGTGTTACAAACAAGAAAGCAGAAAAAGAGGATTTATTCAGGGATCAATCAGATTCTCACCTTAACTAGGGTACAGTTGTGAGCCGTGGCATCCAGCTTGGCCATGATGACATGTGACGTCCAGTGTGCCAGCCAGTAGTCAATGGCGACCATGAGGGAGTGCTTGAGGAGTTGTGAGAGGAGGAGCAGAGAGAGGAGGGGGAGGCCGGCACAGGACAGGTAGGTGCCGCAGGAGCGCCAGGGGATGGTGGCTCGCTGACGCATCACCTGCGACAGGTTGTCGTCATCTTCGCTTTCTAAGGACTCATCTGGGATGAAGAAGAAAATTGACAGATTAATTTCTACTTTTAGTAAGCCAGAGTCTCAAATGCTCTCTGACACTTGGAATATTTCTACTTCACTTGCTCTTTTTTCCTGTTTAATGCACATTTCTATATGTTTTCTCCACCATCTTAATAAAAAGATATTTCTGGGGCAACAAACATGGTAGAAAACCTAACCAAAGAAAGAAAGGAGACTTTAGGGGAAATAGGTTGCCATGCAAAATATCCATTGCCTTTAAACCTCATAATTTTCAGTCACATTACAGACCACACAAACCTCAATGCATGACAGACCAACACAAGGCAGCGCATAATTATGACAACTTACTAATAAAACATACATTTGCTATCAGTCCACTTTACTCTGAGAAATGTAAATAAAATCCAGTGAAACCAGCTGCTTTCGATTACAAATGACATCTACCTATACATCACTTAAATACAGTATAAATGCAGCTACTCTTCTATGGTTTGTTGGAGGACGCAGTGTGAACTGTAAACCAAATAACAGCAGAAAGGTCATGGATAGAGTTGTGGAGATTATAAAATCATATTCAAAGCTTTCAACATCTGTGGGAGTAAATGTATAATCAGAAAAAAATAAAAAAGTGCAACACAACTCCAAATCTAACAGCAGCAACCATCTAAAGAAAACAGGCTGGACAAGGAGGACTTCTGGAGGAGCTACAAAGATCCACAGCTCAGGTGGGAAGATTTCTTTACAGGATAACCATTAGTCATGAAGTCCTGCGATTTCAACTTGTGGAGGAGTAACAAGAAGCCAGCCTTTGAAAGAAAACAATCAGAGGCCCAGTTTGCCACAAAACTCTAAGGGGACACATGAAAAATAACTCAACCTTCTGTCCAATATGCAATATGGTCTGTGTGGCAATAAAATAAACTGCCAGGACGCTGAAGAGTGAGGCAGAGTTTCAGCTTCAAGCAATACAAACCTAAAACCTGCAGCTATAATGGTTCATATCAAAACATTTGTATGTTTGAAAGTTGTGAGAGCTTTTACAAAGGGTGGATTTTTTTTTATATTTCCTCTACAGCATTTATTCCAAGTCAGGATTATGACCCTACCTGATGTCACGGGTCAATGGATGAGTGTAGAAAATAAAGTATCACTAAAAATGATAAAAATGAAGCATACTAAGGTGTCTAACGTACAAAAACATCACATAGAAATGAATGAATCCAAATACAATGGTTATTGGTACTGTTTTTATTAATATAAAACCTATTATTAAAATATGTTTTAATTACATTTATATTTTATCAAGGTACTTTGTGTGATGAATCCATTCTAACACTTTTTTTGTGGGTCAGAAGCCAAAAAGTTTGGGAACCTTTGCTCTACACCATCAGAGCTTCAGTTGAACTGAAGCTTTTTTTGACAGAAGGAAAAAAAAAGGATAAAAAGAAGAAATTTGAATTCTAGAGATTCAGCTGTAGAGAAAACAAAAAGTGATTCTACAAAATAGTGACTCACTGTTGATGTAGAAAATCAAACTTTTATCTAAAAAAAAAAAGTATTATCTTTCTCCCACACTCCACAATCAAGCATTCCTTTGTTGCTCTGTTACATAACATCCCAAGACAGACTCTGAAATCTGTGGTTGCAATGTGACAAAGGTTCAAGGCTGTGAATGAATAGTTTTGCAAGGCCCTGTCCGCTACTCTACAGGCTACACATTTCTACTCCTCAACTCCAAACAGATGCTCATTCCCGTGGGGGGGGATGAGGCGCTAATAAATGAGGTCCTATAATCTTCCCACCCACGATGTGCAGCAGATACAACTCATCACATGCAGCAAGCATCATAGCATGTCGCTCCTTCCAGGCTCAGACATGCTGGAAGTAGAAGGAAAACCAGCTCAGTGAGCAGCAGGTATAAAAAGGGCAACAGCAGCAATAACCTAAAGTCATGCTTTCATTCAGTAGCCCTTCAGGTGGAGGAGTAAGGACCAGTTCAGCGTAAAGTGAGAGACAGGCATGACTACAAAGGATGACTGTATTCTATAATAAAGAATTCAACACATTTGCAGTTTTCTACCAGCATCACAATGCCTCTATAGATACGTTGATGCCATTTCTTTATCCAAACCATGCGTTTTGTGGCCAAACCTTCTTGCTCCAATGCAAGGACGGCACCTGCAGCTCCTGGAGAATCTAGGGTGCCACCAGCACACGGGAGACAATACAGAGCACAGATATAAAACACAGCCTCTGCAGCTCAGCATCTTCAGCTGTTTTTCAAAGACAGACACACAGAATGCCACAACAGGAGGCTACTGGACTGAGCGTTGGGATATTTCCTGGTGCTCAGTGAATCTAAAGGAGAGTTTAGAAGAAGACTGAGATTATTTAGCCACTTTTAAGTGTTTGCAATAACTATTATCAATAATAGAAGTACCAGGACTCGCTTGGAGCACTACAGACAGATGGGGGTAAACATTAAAATAGGTTTGGTAAGCTCAAGCTTTAATGTAACAGATGCTTCTCAGCAAACACAGCAGGTAAAGGGAAATGACACCCTGCGTCTCTCACCCAGGATGAAATGAGAGAAGCTCAGACTGCAGTCATGCATAACTTTACTCCCGCTGGTTGTTTCCCGTCTCCGCTCACCTTCCTCGTCCTCCTCCGTCCTCAGAGTTTCTCTGGAGTACATGGCCCTCCTCAGGTTCTTCCTCTCCATGTTTGTCATGCTCTCAGCCACTGTCTCCTAAAACAGAAAAATAAAAAATGCGCAATTCTGGTAAATGGTTTATAAGGCTGAAGATTTTTTAAAAACATTTCTTTTTTTATTAATGGTGCAGATAAACCACATCCTTTCTGTAGCCATGAACAAGCCATGATCAAGCCTCTGCCTTCAAACAAAATTAAATGAGCCTTTAATTGGTTGGTTTCCTCCAACTTCCATATGATACTAATGAGGTTGAATGATGAGGTTGCCATTTTAAAAGCTTAATGTGTGGTTGCTCCATCAGTGTGAATACAATGGTTTACGATCCTGTTTGGATTCCCTTTATGAACTAGGTCAGACTATTAGCCTTCGGGGGGATTTGCTCATTATTCTGCCCACTTTGTGGATTAAACAAGTTATTCTAGATGTTTCATAGGCCTACATCATGATGGTGCCAACCCCATGTTTGATAGTTGATCCGGTTTTCTCAGATTTGAAGGCCTTATCATCCAATCATGGAAACAAATTTCAAACTGTGAATCTAAATAACTCAAGCGTCAATGTGTGTAATTTGGAGTAGGTGGTTCTCTCTTGCTAAAAATCCTATCAGTCCGTGTCATAAAAAAAAAAAAAAAAATGTTATTGTCAACGGTGACACTGATATTCCAAAAGCTTCCAGTACACGACTTAAACTGTATGTTTTCTGACTATTCCTAATCCTTCTATCCAATTTCCTTTACTAAGGGGATGTTCCAACATGATAGTGATCCATTCAACAAATCCAAATTGGTTGTACAGCTAAAAAATCCGTATAGCATTAAGCACCTGGAACGGCTCTGACCTCAACCCAGCTGAAATCAGGAGATTGTTCTTAAATGCTGGATCCATGACAGAAAACAAAACATTTCGACAGCGTCTATTGAGAAGAAATGATTAAATATGCCCCCAGGATTACGTCAGAAGATTCTCAACAGCTTCGAACTAAAATATATTAGTTGCCCACTGGACATTATTATATGTACAATGTTTTCTAAAGTAAACAATCTCAAACTAGTAAATCAAGTTCTTTTTTACTAACGAATTGAGGCTATTTACTGTCGTCCAAACTGGAAAAAAAGGCCATTATTAATAGCATAATAACAGTATGTATATTTTTAATTCTACAGTTTTTATATATATATTTTTATAAGATATAATCACTTATTTATCACTCTCTTTGTACTTATGGGATTATTAAGAAGCAACCTCCTATTTAAAGCCGACTCATTAAAAGCTTATTTTGACTGCCTGGAGTCATTAATCACCGTCTCAAACTCCCGATCCTGCCTGTTCATGAGGGTTTTCCACTGTTTGAAGAGTTCTGGATCAGAGTTCTGGATATCCTTCAGAGTCCCTTCAGTCTGGATTGTCCCATCTTTCATGGCAATAATCTAAAAGGCAAAATGAGGGAAAAAACTATATATATCTTTGTATTTTTTTTAGAAATATCTCGGTATTTTATAAAATGTTTGAGCGAACATGCCAATGCAGACTATGAGGTCTTACCCAGTCAGCATGTGGCAGGTACTGGAGTTTGTGTGTGACCAGCACCACCGTCCTTTTCTCCTCCCTCAGCAGCTTCAGGATGCCATCCTGCATCAGATGGTCACTCAGGTGGATGTCTAAAGCAGAAAATGGGTCATCCTAAAAATATATAAGCAAATGTTTCAAAGTGCAGAAAAAAAATCTGTTAGAAAAAACAGCAGAACAATAAGTCTACACACTGCTGTTAAAGGCCAGGTTTTTGTGATAAGGAAAAATGAGAAATAGTTTCGTAACGTCCTCTTTCTTAAAGTTGATGAATATCAGTACCATGAAAAAGTGCCCAAACCACTCTGAATTTCTTAGATTTAGTCATATTATAATGTATTCTATGTGATAATAAAACACACTTTAACATATTAAGCAGGACAGAGATGTACTGTACCAATACGGCTTCTAATGTATGAGAAATCTTTAATCTAGACTATTTCTTATTGCCACATTGCCAGACAGGACACTGTTTAAAAAAAAAAAAAAAAATCTAGACTATTCCATTGTTTTGCATGCATTTGTTTTCGCTACTTTCAGTTATACTGGTAAAAATTTTTTGTCATAACCTAAAAAGTGTCCCAAACAATATTATTTTGCAAATCGATTAATCCGTTGATTATTTATAATAATCAGATAACCAACGTTTTCTTAAAAAAAAAGCCTTTTTATGAAATTAAAACAGATGAAAGCGAAACTTTTACACTACTCTGATTATTTCTTTTTGTGCACTTCCACTTAGTTTAAATTGGAGGAAATAGTGTGGGCTAAAACCACCTCTGGACCCTAGGATTACAACAGGTCCTCAGATCTGTATCTAATATAAAAACGGCTACAAAATTTTATCCTTTATTTTTTTCATAAGAAATTATCAATCTTACTGGTGGGAACAAAAAATTAAAATCAAAAACAAGCTAGGATGAACATAGCAGTCTAATCAGAAAAAAGGGTGATTGCTCTTCCCTTTAAATGCTTCTGGATCCTGTCACGCTGTTAAGGGCAGAAGGTTCAGGTTTTACATGGTGTCTAAGTAATTATAAAGTAGCCTAATTTGATACTTCAGAAAAAAATCGAAATAAATGCTGGAACAATAAATCAAACGAAACAATAATTTTCTAAAAGACTTAAGTCCATTAGAAAGAGTGACCAGCCCTAAGCTGAAGGAGTATGCTTGTATATAAAATTCAGAAATAGAACAATGTCTGAGTAACTGCAGGAATATTAAGCGAGTCATCAAAAAGCATTCTATAGATACAATACTCTGTACAGACTCACCAGAAAGACCACATTGGTCTGCTGGTACAAGGCTCTAGCCACGCTGATTCTCTGTTTCTGTCCTCCTGATAAGATGATGCCCTGCATGATAACAGAAGGATCTCAATGAAGAATGACACAATGGCCTTTGTTAAGATTATGTATAAAGACCCCAGAGCTCAGAAGAATCAAAAGGGATAATGATTTATTCCCTTCATTAGTGGTGCATAAAAAAAGAAAGTCCAGCAGGACTTTGCTTTGATTAAATGAGGTCAGTTCAGCTTCATTCCAGCTGAAAAATCAAAAAGCCCACTGCACAGAAATGATGAAAATGAGCTGCAGAGTTATGTGTAGAATACTTAAAGTGGTACTGACCCGCTCCCCAATCTCTGTCTGGTCCCCCTGTGGAAGGATGTCGATGTCTGGCTGAAGGGAGCAGGCCTCGATGACAGCTTTGTATCTGCAAGCAGAGAGAGAATATGAATGAGGGCAAAGATCAGCTGTTCTTTGTTGCTTTGCCCACCCTCTGCCATTTCAGGTGAATATCGGCTGCTCTTAGGTATGCAGAGAACAACCAAAGCAGAGGCAAAAAGCAGGAAAAGAAACTGCTGCTGTAGTGAGATGAAGAAGTCTGACTCCCGACAGCTCCCAACAGAATGCAGAGAGTGTGAAATTCAGTCCATTAATGTCATTTGAATTCAAAATGCAATCACTGAGCCCTACAGCCCAGACCGTTTCTTAAATGTAATCATCTGTATGTGATATGCAATATCTCTGACTGCTGGAGCCTTATTAAGGATACATGGAGATGACATAATACAATGACCTAAATAAACCCAAATGTTTACAGATTCTGGAAAGTGAAGGCAGGTCATGCACTAATTTACTTCTACAGCCAATAATATTTTGTAGCAAACCGAAATAAACACTCAAGAAAAGGTTCGGTAAAGAGAAAAACAAATAATTATCTAACTGATAAAATATGAATTGAATAAAAACAATTTAATGTATTGCTCTGGAAAAGATGAATAATCTTGGTTACTAACCTTTAGGAAAATTCTAATCTGAATTCATGTCAGGCTGATAAAAATCTGCTCACTACCAGCAGTAATTTATCCACAAAGCAACACAAACTAACTATTACACACATTAACTGGCACTGACCATGACAGCCATCACTACAAAAAAACACAACCAACAAAACACCTGCTGCAGAACCATTAAGATCATCTGCATCTTGCCAGGTGAACTAAATTGTATGATAGGATGGTGGAGGCAGAGCAGCAGGAGACTTTGTTTCATAAACCACGTCCAAAACAACAAAGCACACTGTGCCATTAGTATTTCATGAAAGGAAGGGAAAAACCAAACAAAGCAAAAAACAAGACAAAGCAGTCCATTAAACCTACGGAGAGGCAGCCTGTTGCCATAAGAGAAAGAAAGCAGCTTTTCAAAACAGCCACTTGTTGTGAAATTCATGGCTGTAGGTCTAAGCATGTGCTACTGATGCTGTGTTTTGTGATTTTACCAACAAAGGTGCTCACAGTATGCAGAGTCGCGCCAGGACTGGTTTAAAGAGAGGAGGTTGAATTACAAAACATCTTTGAAATGAAATTATGTTTTATAATCAGGTCAAAAAGTGACTTTAACCTAATCAGGGTTCAGTACTTTCAATTTAGAGCAAAGGCCACTGGGAGAACAGACATTTAATTTCATTTAACATCCTGGGTTGACAGCTAATAGGTCATAGTAAATACTCAGGAAGTAATTAATGAGTCTACCCAGGCATTTTAATGCTAATGTGTAAATGAAATGTCGAGGTGTCAAGAAAAAAACCCCAAGATAAATAAGAAACCTCACATTTAAATTATTAGAATAACTGATTGAATACAACGACACAAACTAAAACTGTGGTCCTAGATGTTAAGCTCCCATTTACAAAGGATGCATTCAAAGTGCTCTCTTTAAAAAAAAAAAAAAGTGTTAGGCCTGAAAGCTTTTGATCTAAAGCAATTTTTGATAATGGATCTAAAAACTGTGCAGATTTTATATTCTTTTTATTAAAAACACTTCTAAAGTTGTTTCTATACTGTGTAGTTTATTTATCCCCTGGGATTACTCTTTCAGGGAAATTCTGGTTCCAGTATCTTATTTAGAGGACAAAAAGTTAAAGCAAGATGTCATTAAAGACAATATAATATAACAGACAATATAAAAAGATTGCATATAGTACAAAAAAAAGAAAAGCATAAAAAAGACATAAGGTTGTAATGTCCTGGAACATGTTTCCCTTAGATACAAAGAAAAATAGTTTATATAAATAGCAAAATAGTTCATGTAATAGTTCATATTACATTTCCACCTATACCTGATAAGATCTTAAATACACTTTACATTTTAACAAAAGATTGTTTAAACAAATCAGAAATGAACATGACATCTTAAGATTCTGAACAGGACTTTAAAACCTGTCCATTGTTTGCTTGGCTACATATAAGTAGACAAAACTGTTGTTATACCCCTTGCTTACTGAAAGAAAAACCCACAATGATCAGAAATATGAAAAATGGCTACATGAAAGGAAGCTTTTCAACCTTGCTGAAACAGGATGACTTTTAAAAATAAACACATGAAAAAGACCGGAACAAAAATGTTGGTATCTTTATAAAAGACTGGAAATAATGTGACCTAAGGTACATGTTAAATCAATGTGTATCCACTAATCACCATCAGCAGTGTCTACAATCTACAGCACAGTGATTACTTGTGGTTGAAGGTAAAAACTAAAAGACCATCTCCAAGTAGCTTGATTTTCCTGTCACTAAAGCTGCAATTATTAGAAATTTAAGATCCATGTGACTGTAGCCGACCTCCCTGGATGTGGCCACAGAAGGAAAATTGATGACGAATCAAAGACACTGATAACAAACAAGCCTGGAACTAAAGGAGAACTTCAAGCTCAAGGAACATCAGTGTCAGATGAATCTATCTTTAACCGTTGGAGCCAAAGTGGACCTACTGGGAGATTTCTTAAATTACTGCTTATCACTAATCAAATCACTAATCATAAAAAGCTAGACTAGAATCTACCAAACTACATTTTGACAAGCCACAAAGCTTCTGTTAGAATTTCCCATGGACAGAAGAGACAAAAATCTAACTTTTTTTGCCTATGCACATCAGCTCTTTGTTAGCAGACAGAAAAATGAAGCATATAAGGAAAATAACACTGTCCTACTGTGAGACATGGAGGAGGTTCCATTATGTTCTGGGGCTGCTTTGCTCTATCTGCCACAGGGTGTCTTGAATCTCTGCAGAGTTAAATGAAATCTAAAGTCTATCATTCCAGAGAGAAATGTGTTGCTTTGTGTCTGAAAGGTTGGTCTCAGTCGTAGGCCAATTATTATGACACAACACACACAGATAAAAACATCCAAGAATGGCTAAGATTAAACATTGGACTACTCTAAAAGCCCTGACTTAAATCCTATTGAGCATCGTTGGGCAGAGCTGAAACATGCTGTCTGAAAAAGGCATCTTTCCAACCTGAGACAACTGTAGCAGTTTGCTCATGAGGAGTGGGCCAAAACACCTGCTGATAGGTGTAGAGGTGTCATCACCAATTACAGGTATCATTTGATTGCAATGATTGCCTCAAAAGGTGTAGCAACTAAATAGTTATTTAGGTTACAATTACGTTTTTGTATTTTCAATAAATTAATTTTAAAATGTATTTTAATCAATTTTGTCCACATGTGTATCTATTTGCATTAAATCCCTCATCCCATAATTTAAGCAATCCAATCTCTGCGCTGAATTAGAAGCTGTTTCTTTTGCGTTCGAATCAGTGGGCAGGCTTTCTGAGAGCTACAGCTCCATATCAAATAGCCTGTAAATGTAAATACAAGTCATCTGAGACCATGCCTTTAGTCTTTAAAAAACATATCTTAAATGCTTCCTTGCAGTTCAAGTATCACATCCATCACCATCTGAACTCTGTTCTCCATTTAGCCAATCATTTAGAGCTGCTCCTCAAGGACTGTATCATACCTTGGGCTTGTTTTTGTTTTCACCATTTGGACCGTTTGTTTTCAGGCCAAAAGCAGCTTTCAGAGTTTATGTTTTTCTGTATCTCATGCTGGGTAGAAAACTAAAAACAACAACCTTACTCTGATACTAGTCAGATCAGATTTAACGACAGCAAATTCATCTCAGTCATATTTTCAGCAATATTTATAGATCAGTAGAAGTCCATATGTAGTCTCCAATGTGTCCACCAGGTTTTATCTGTGGTTTAATTAGACAAATGCAGCTGTTTCAATTAGCTGAGCTGACATGTGTTTCAATAAAAAGCTGCGTTCACAACAAACCACAGAGAGAACAGCACTAATAAAAGGGCTAATTTGTCTGTGTTCGTAAACAGCATCGGGTTTATTATAATTTACTCTAATAAATAAATAAAATGTCCAGAAGTTTTTGGCTAATTAGAATAATGAACAATAATACACTGCAGGGCTCCACTACTGACCCAGTTATAGCGCACAGATGACACTCTGAACAACCATTTCTAAATCACGCTATCAAAGGACAAGAACTCACAGCAGTAAACCCCTAATAGCGACTACCTGGACTTTATCATGGGCATCTCAAAGGTGATGTTCTCCACCACAGAGGTGTTCAGCAGCCAGGGCTTCTGGGAAGCGTAGGCCACAGGGCCTCTCTTCCTGAAAGAAATTAAGTATAAACACACAGAGTAATCAATCAAACAACGTCTGAATTTTACTATCTAACACATGGGCCGAGCTGAAGGAGTTGTTTAAATCTGTGGATCACATCGCTTTCAGACATGTGCAGTTCTTAAACTAATGGAGCAGTGATCGTTAGACGCTCTTATATGTTTGTACTGTCAATATGCTGCTAAGGGTTGGTGCCAAGTAGGCATGCAGGGAGAACAGCAGATGGATTTACAGATAAGACTGAGTGCTGCTTTCTGCTTTTAATGATGCTGTGTCTCCATGAAGACAGGCCGCCACTTTTGCACTCACCTGATGTCTTCGTCCCCTGCTGCATCTCTGTCTGTGGGACTGCAGGAAAAAATGGCAAACACCGAAACATTAGACAGACAATAGGTAATTGACCTCAGAGTGTTTCTGCAATGATTAACAAAAAAACAAACACACATATGGGCCGGTTTTCCCTCTCCTCGCTATGGTAATCATGTCAGTACTCAGCGGCCCAAAACAAACAGGCAGACCTCTGCTCTACATGAACACATCTACCATTAACAGTAATCTTATCCTTCTTAAAAATATCCCCCCACCCACCTCCACTCCCATCCTGTTAGACTTTCTGCAATCAACTGATATGGAAATTAGCATCAACCTGCTAAGACTCAGGGACTTCTAAGAGGGTCTGATTCCAAAAGTGGACATCAGAAAATCAACAGCAGCTCAGAGTTTTCTGTTTGCCTGTGAGAACATCCCCTCATTGAATATTAGAGGCAGACAAAATACTCTTCTCTTTACCTACCTCTTTCCAGAATGACGTTCTGATCGCTGCAATTATAATAGTTTGACTTATTACAGACCAAGAAACCACTAATCGATGAAAATGATAATAATTATAATCCAATCATGATTTCAATGTATTGTGATTTCTGATCTATTCCTACTGCAGAGACTTTGCTTTTAAAAAAAGGGTGTTATTTCATTTGAAGGTGCATCTTAGATCTCAGTGAATTTAAGTTAATTTACTTCAGTAATTCAGGTCTGAAACTCAGGGTGCTGTTTGATTGTGCTATCTTAACATTTTTGTTCAAGTTTTATTTCTAGTGTTTAATATCAAACTTATATATTAGATGAAAAACAGACTCTAAGCTAGATACATATTAAAAGAACTGATAGCATTGATTTTAGTCAGTTATATCAGACTAATAGAGGAAAAGAATGCATCATTTCCTGGTACTAATAACTCCTTTCTATTCATGTTATTTACTTTAAACACCTAGATACAGAAACCCTTAATGTTACATATTATGCCCAATTAATCACATGATTATTTATGTATGATTGCACATTCATGGTAAAAGGAAAGTTTAATCTGGTTAAAGGCACACAGTGTAACTTCGGGCCACTAGGGGCGCTAGACCTATAACTGGTCTTATTTTACTGCTACTGAACATCAAAAATAATAACAAAGATATGTGACTGTATACCAGGAGCAAAGTGTTTACTTACTAGTCTAATAATAATGTTGAAAAAAGAGAAATGGTTTTACATCCGGCTTCTTCTTTCTGCCTGTGCTAACAAACAAACCATGATCGACTCTTGTTTTTTCTCACACAGGATCCCTTTCACGTTTTCCATTTTTAGCCTTCTCAAAAGGTTTAAACTTTTTTCTTACCTCAGCCCGTAGTCAGATTTACTTCCGGGCTTCAGTTCACAGTATTCTTAAAGTTATGTATATTGCTGATGCCTACGATTACCTGCTAGCAGATCATTACACTTATTTTAGTGTTACTTGTTTCAAATTTGCTAAATTGATAATAAATAAATAAATAAATATCATGGGTGAATACTTATATTAATATTAATAATAAAAAGAAAACTTTTTTTTAAATTACAACCTCAAACTTAAGTATCAATATTTGATATGTAATAACTTTCCATAATATTGTACATCTACCATATATTCAAAACCACTGTGCGTAATACTGGAGTCCTTATGACGGTGTAGGTGGTGCCTATTATATTGAAAATGTAATGAATTCATGGTTTGAATGTCAATAATTTATTCAGCCTGTTGGATTTAGCTTCATTGCAGTAGATCCCAACCAAGAAGGTAGAGGCTCTGATGCTAAAGGTCACAGAGAGAATATCATGTATGACAGATGAGTGAGGAAAACTGGTATTTATATATAGATACAGACTTCCACTTTGACTGTTTTTAAATCGCTTTTAAAGTTACATTTTCTCTCTGGGATTTAATACGTAAAAGGATGTTGGTGTAGGTTGAGTTTTTGATTGCTCTTTTATTTTCTATTTTGTTTAAACGTTTTTTTGGTATTGTTTTTGTTAATTTTTAGTGCATTCACTGGTGTTTACATTTCTGCTTTTGTGCAGCACTCTGTTCCTGTTGTTTTTTAAAGTGTTATAAAAATAAAGTTAGAATGGATTGGATACATATACACAGAAACATACATAGTGTTTTTCATAACTTTGCACGATTTATGGAATTTGTTGTTTGAACATAAACCTCTAGCCTATAGCTTGAAAAAGTTCAGTCTAGGCAACTGGACATTAAGTTTTCTAGAGGACGTTTTGCCTCATCGAAGAGGCTACTTCAGCTCTAACTAGTGGTGGGGATCACTGAGATTAATATTATGTATGTCTAAGAAAAAATTAGGGGGGACAAAAGGTGGCTTTGATCCCTCCCACTGGATTGGCCAAGGACGTCACATGGGGGGTGTTAAAGGTCGTATTATATAAAAAAAACCAAAGAAGCATATTATTACTTAGGTGGTCACAGTAAAAAAGTAAAACCATCTGCTTTTTTAATATGCAAGAGTAATTATTACACGGTTTACAATCATCTAAATCTATCCTTGATTGTAAAATAAAATAAAAAACACACTGCACTAATTATCATGGTAGTACTTTTTAAATAATAAAAAAAGATCAAATTCCATATTTTTTTCTAATTGCAGAATAGAGAACTAAAACAGAACTTGTAAGAAGGTAAAACCTTCTTTAGATACAATGAACACAAGTAATGAATTATATTTAAACTTCATATTATACAACAGTAGAAAAGAAAAATGTTTCATCTAAAACTATTTAAAGCACTAGATAAAAGACATACATTCCCAATATATCTGCTTTGAAATATTTGTCCTCTAAAACCTCTTCTTCTTGTTTTTGTTGGAGCGTGGAGCCAAAGAAAAAGAACGATAAGTGACAGATCATCCTGGATAAGCAGCAGAATTGAATGTGAACCTTCTTCTTTTCATGCTCTGTGTCAGTGATCTGAAAATATGTGTGTTTGCGCATCTAAATGAGTGCAGGAATAATCTATAATATCACAAACAGTTTAGAGTGGTTAATAACATCATATAAACACTACAAACAGTGCCTATCATATTCATTTCCTTAAACTTTTCCACATTATGTTAATGTAGAAACACTTACTTAAATGTATTGTTTTATTTTTATGAAATGAAATAAGACAACTATCTGGTACATAATTTTAAATGAAAGAAAAAAAGGATATTTTTACAAATGAAAATCTAAAAGGAGTACATCTGCGCTTTCAACTGAACCCCTTACTCTAATATCTGTATATAAAAACATAATTGCCTTCTAAAGTGATCAAATTTGTAAATGTACTCTACCTTCTATCCTGTTCTATTCTATTCTATTCTATTCTATTCTATTCTATTCTATTCTATTCTATTCTATTCTATTCTATTCTATTCTACTCTATATTCAATTTAGTCTCAGTAAAAAAATAACTGGATTGAGTCGGCCTTAGAGGTTTGTTTTTTATTCATTAAAAATCCTAGTTGTACATTTCTCCTGTTTCTCAGGTAACGGGACTAAAAACTGCATAAATGGGTCCTTTACAGCAGCAGTCTGACAGTATTTTTAGTATATTTGAGATCGCCTAAGAGATGCAGAAAATGTTCTCCAAGGCAAGCTGAAAATACATCACAGCGCCGGCCTGTGTATTTGGGTCTGGCTTACCTTTCATCTCCTTCAGATACAATGGCAGGGAATCTGTAAGAAACAATAACAAAAAAAGTTAGATTTAAGAAATGCAATCAATGTTGTTAAACTTTATGGTTTTGGAAAGTCAGAAGAACTCAAGGAAAAATGTAATATTGATGTAACACATAACTACTCCTGACTTATTTATAACTTGTGTACTGTACACACACACACACACACTGGGTTGGCACATTCTCTGTAGAGGCAGTAGTGTATTTTTAGGCGTGTGTTCGGTTGACACATCGTGTTCTCGTGACTTCAGACGTATCTGAGGACGACTAGAGGGTGAAGGGGGGGTTTTACTGCAGAAGCTACAGTAACACACAAGCACTATGAAGGGGAGAGGAAGCTGACATTTAAGGAGCTCCTATAACCTGCTCTTGAACATGTAAAAACACAGCTGTTATATGCTGCGTCAGAGAAAGAGAAGGAAATGGGAGAAAGAAACAGTTTGGTAATATTCACAAACAGGAATTTTCCATTCAACCTGTAGTGTCTGACCTTTAGTGTCTGTATTTTCTTTAATAGAAAATAGATCAATAACAACAATAAAGGTATTCAAATAGGATGAATGAAAGACATCAAAGGGCCAATAAAAGTTATATTTTGAAATAGGGGGGAAAAAAATATTTATGCTGTAAAAGATTAGTAACTCATAAACAATACAGAACCCTGCAGCTGTTAAAGGAACAGGGAAGATGGGGCCGACCCGTCTAAACAAATATATCTTTTTAGAAATCGAACCACAATTATGCTGACATAACCTATTTCATAAATGTCAATAGAAGACAATGAAATGCAGCACAGGCAGCATGCCTTTACAGGCTGTAACCATAGAAATAAATATGCAGGGACAGTGAAGATTTGGAAAAACCCACAAATAAACAACTCCCAGATTCTGTGGAAAGCTGATAAAATAAAGTAAACTAGAGGGTGATGTAAAAGATTTCACCTGGAGTCTTCCTTTTAAACCTCATAGAAATAATCAATTTAAATTGTGAATCCATAAAGGAATGACATTCTTGGAGGAAATCATAAATCTATTTAAGCTCTGAGTGCAGTTTTTTCTCTGGAAAAGAATGATTTGAGAAGAGTGGGTGCTTTGATAAAGGAGCATTTAAATTCAAAATAAAAGAAAAATGGTCAATTGATTAGCAAAATTCTGCCTTGTTATTCATAAAATCATGCTTAATCATTTATAAATTAGTCGCCAAATTCTAAGCAAATTAAATACAAAACTCAGAAATAAAAAAAGGTCATTGGAAACTTGTAGGACAGCAAAGGTTAACCTGACCTAAAGATAGAAAGTTTGATTTAACATATGGGTGAGCCTGGATTTTATAAAAGAAACTAAATGATCATCTTTAACCAGAATTCAATTAACTTCTGTATCATTTGCCAAACAAAGAAAATGTAAAAGTTTGTGTGAAATGTTTGTTCATGCTCTTGAATAGCTAACATATTGCTTTCCTTGAATTTACTTGAATTATTCTGCTTCTCTTTTTAAACTGTCATGAAGAAAAAGTTTTCCAGGACTCTTAAAGTCTATTGTTCAACAGATTGCTGGTAGGAAATACTGAATTTTATCAAAGCTGAAATTTGCAATAAATCAACAAATCGAGCAATAATTTTATGCACCTATATGAGAAACATTTACACGGATCTGTGTTTGAACATTTCTTGTAAAGAGAGTTATGCTCTCCCAGCAAAACTGTTGAAACAACAAGGCCACTATATTTTATTTTCACTCCAGATATTTGAGTTGAAGGCCGGCATAAGATTAGCCCATTAAAAACAACAACGACAATAAAAAAAAACAACTGTATAATAAAAAATGTATCTCTGTTTGTGTAAATTAATATATATTTTAGAGCAAAGCTATAAAGAAATGAAACTACTAGATGGATGCTGAGTCAAAACAGACCCCTAAACTGTGTGAAATATCTACGAGTTAATATCTTAATATCTGAACATGAAAATTTTAAAGGTATTAAATAGGATTTTTCTCAGAAATTAAATATCCAGATTAATATAAAATGACTTAATTGATAGATGGCATTCTTGCATTTAACATCCATAACATCCATCCATAAACTCTGGCCATGGTAGTGCCTACAAAACATTAGCCAATCCACTTTGCCTACTGTTGAAAGTGGATTGGCTACTTGTTTGTCAATCAATCATAATTTTGTGATGTTATTTACGTAGGTTCCAAGCATTACTTGTGCGCCGTTTGACCAGCGGTCCACCGTTATGTTGAGAAATACCTGGCTGCCGAGAATTAGCCTAGCTCCCTTCTCGCCCACTGATGAGAAAATGGATTGAAATATTAATGAAAAGGGAACTTTTAAACATATTCTTAATCTTTTCATATTTCTTATGCATGCATGCCCTAAAATTGGTGGACAGGTAAATTCAAATAAACTGAATTTTTTCTTGTGTTGAGACACGTTTTAGTCGATATGCTACAGTCAGTGTCTGATGAATATATTCTCTGCTCAGTGGGTGGCGTTTTCTGCTTTTGCTATCAACACCATTCTATATCATTTTTGACAAAAAATTAAGAATATGCTTCAAAGTTCCCTTTTTTGTTTATGTTTCAATCCAATTTCTTATCATTGTGAGAGAGTTTGGGGCAATGCACGCTCCGACGACAAGGAAGGCAATTCTCGACATTTACCTTTTCCACCAAAACTCTCAGTTTCAGGGCATCCATGCATAAGAAATATGAAAACATTAAGAATATATTTAAAGTTCCATTTTCATTCATGTTTAAATTTGTTTTCTCATCACTGTGCGAGAGGGGAGGTAATTCTCAACAGGCAGGTGTTTCTCGGCATAACACCGGTGGAGGCGTTTCCAGCATAGAGAAATTTTGCGAAGGAGGGGGCACTGACACAGGCGCACAATTCAAAAAGACACAAACAGCTTTTGGACCCAACTTCCACCACAGGATCCTCTTTAATGCCTTTCAGCACACAAAACAGCCTTTGCTTTAGCAGCTTAGGAAAGGACTATGCTTTCCTGAATATGCAAACAGGAATCTGCAGAGCTCTGATAATAAGACTAGAAAATCTGAATGCAAGCACATTCTATTACGGTATGTAATAACAAGGCTTTGTGATAAAATGAACTCTTGAAATAGAAAGTTTAAAGAGATTATTTTCCAGTTTTATGTTAACTGTTGAAGAATTGAATGATAATTTAAATACTAATGATATCAGTATATTTTCCTAAAACTAAAACTAGTGGTTTGTATTCATAAAGTGATCAGATTTCAAAAAGTAAAAACCCCTCAAGGCAACAATATTATCAGATCTCATCACCACAAAACACTTGAATGAACTTGAAGTCTGGTGGGAACATCTGATTGTTTTCCATCCTTTGGTCGTTGTGATGACATGTTAATCATGTTCATGCCTGATTGAAGCTGAGAAAGAGATTTCTCATTTAGTTTAATCAACACCTTAGAGGATTAAGGGTTATCTCAGAGAGAAAAATGTGTGAGGAGGCCATGCTTTTCCTCTTTCAATCAGCAGTAAGATCCGATCTTCACAAATGATTCCAGCAGTTAGAAACTCATCATTAAATGTAAGGGTTCCTTAGAGGGCAATCTAGTTCCCTCATCAAGCTAATGTCTAATCTTTAAGTAAAACAGATTCCCAATCAGTTTATTGGTCCAGCTTATAAAAGTACAAACTGACTCAGATTGGAATGTGTTAAACCATCTTCACCCTCTTCAAATTATGGAGATTATAAACTGAAAGGCTTAAGAGAAACAAATGTGAATTAAAAGAATTATGTTGTTGTTAAACCATTAGGATAGATAATAGTCAGCTTTCCTGATGGAAGGAACAGCCTTGGGTTTGAAGGTTCTAGGTTACAATCTCATTGCTATGAAGCAGTTATGTAAAGCGCTCTACACCAAACTGATGCAATAAAAGCTGGCAAAATAAAACACACAGGTACTGTAAAGACCTACCTACACATTTTAATCACCACTGAGCAGATTGCAGAGCTGTGGCTTTTATAAGACTTATGGAGGCTGCAGCATGAAAATTATAGCAATGCATTTTCTGCACATATATTTCATATTCTTCATATCAAATGTAATTTAAACCAACTTGCAGGCAAAGCAATAAGTAATTAAACTTGCATAAAAGTTTGAGAAACCTGATAAAGTCTAACAAACCCTGTTAGACATACCCCCAAACACTAAATAAAAATCCATTAGATTGTTAGCAAGCACCATCTACAGTACAGTTCAAGCTGTATTGCATCATATGAGAGCTTCAACATTTATGGCCCATTTTGTTTTTCATTTCTTTTTATCAGGATACATTCTACAGATTATTTCTGACAATTATTCTGAATAACATTGATGTAAAAGAAAAGACAAACACATATTATTATGTGTTGTCCTATGTTCATAACTAGAAAACACTTATCACTTCTGGTTCAAACCCAAAACAGAATCCCAACCCCAATGCTGAAGTAGATATTTTATATGCATCGATATGCATATATTGCAGAAGTAACATCAATATATAAAGCTATAGATATCTGATGTGTATCTCCTTTAAACATCCTCTTTTTATCACCAAACTGAATTTACATAAAAGTTGATTAACAACTGTCTGAGACCATGCAATGGAAAAAATAACGTTTTAACGTTTACTTTCACAAGTAATAAATATATTGCTATTTTCCCCTCATCATGTCTTTGTAAGTTAGGCTAAATATCAAATCAAGCACTTAATGGCAAGAAGAGTTTCAGCTAACAACTGTCTACTGAAAGAGGCAGAAAAAGCAGAAAACGAATGTTTCATTTGACATATGGAGCCACATAAACAGGTGAGGTGAACAGAGAAACAACAACTAGAGGGAGAAATCAGGGCAGAAATTATAGATCTGTTTGCAAGAAGTTACATCTATGTTTAAATCAGAGATGGTGGATGACCTGTCTGATCTATGATTTAACAAATAACTGTATTTTATTCAACAAAGGT